TGTTCCACTGGCAAACAGACAGCACTGAATACAACCCATGGACTTTAGGTTTTCATTTCATTTTAGGTTTCCTTCATACCTGTTAGAACAAACAAAAGGCTGTCACCTAAGAATCAGCTGGTTATTTTAAATCAACTGAACTACACTCCTCTGGCATCTTGCAGAAAGAGGTTATGTATACCTCTCTCCTCAAGTTTGCTTTCCCTTCTTAGACTCCTCATATGGACTTTGCTTTGCCCTCACTTGTTTGAGCTATTCCCCATCTGATTTCCTGCTGCTCTTTTGCTAGGCCCTTCCATCTGTCCTGCTCCTCTCTAGCATCCAAGCAGCTCCTCCTCAGCTCAATCACAACCAGATTCTCTTGCAATCAGAGCCATCCATCTGTGACATAAGAACAGCTCTACCAATTACACCAAAAGTTTTATCATAACTACAAAAATCCATCTGTACATTATAATACAAGTTAACCCAAGACTTTGGGCTAACACTTTCTTATACTGAATCAAATGTGGATGCAACCAAAGTTAAGCACTTTTAAGGAAGCAGTCCTAGCATACATATTAGGAAAGATCACACTGATCACAATGTTTCCAAGTATACATGTTGAAGCTTGCACTGTATTTCTCATAGACTTTGACCAGGAGACTTAAACAGTGGTAAATAAGTTTCTGACTTATTGAACTGTATCAATTAATAATAAAAATTACTGAAATGACATGCAACTGTCATGGACCAGGAGTCTTGCAGGAAAAAAAAAAGGAAATGTCCTGTTAACTAAAAACAAGCTGATGACTAAAAAGCAAAACAAAAAACAAACTTCATAAGTGACACAAATGTACATATACCACAATAATTGGACAATCAAGCAGTATGACATCTATACCAGACCTAAATGCAGCTGGTATTTATGTGTTATGTTTTATCTTCTTCCCATAATACTGTTTTACTCTGCTGACATTGTTTTTGGAAAACTTTAAGGTTAGGTCAGCCATATTTCACAGCAGCCTGTTAACAAGCTCAAGTACCTGAACTAATACTGAAGGTCAATTATTTGTTTCCTGCACACAGTAAATTCAATGCCACAGCCTTAAGATTCCTTTCCATTCTATAGCAGCAATCTGAAATAGGCTGTATGTCTTGTAAGCAAAAATATTCCAAGCACTGCATCATGGCTTCTCTTAAAGCTTTGTGTCTAGGATGCTCGTTTCCCCCAAGTCCAGCAAGTAAACACCTAGATTACTTGCTCAGCATGGTATTCAAGCAAATATTTCTGGACTGTTAAAACTCTCTGAAGTTCCTGCCATACCAAAATTATCTCCTAAATTTCCCTAATTTGTTAGGGAAACAAATTCCCTAGAATTTGTTATGCCAGCATATAATTGCATACACAGTATTTGGATAGAACAGTTACTGTACCAGCATGAAATAAGCAGAACTGGCAATAAATATGTTACCTTTTTTCCAGACCTTCTCAAATCCCTGTCACGATTTGTCATTCTCAAAGAATTCTCCCCCGCTGAGAAATTATATCATAGAAACCAATGCCCTTCTACCACAGCACATATTTTAAATGGAATAACTTGTAACCCAGTTCCTTACATTTATTTACCAAGCACAAAGAAGACTACGTAGCATGTTAGCAAATAGAACAACATATAGTTTGTTTCCAAATATGAAAAATCTATTCTCTATTCTTTAGAGAAGCAAAGAAATGCAAAAATTATTTCCATCATTGAGTTCTGAAACAGCTACAGTAACTTTGAACCAGTTACAGTAAGATACCAGGACCTTATACAAGCACTGACATTAAAATCCTACCATGTACAGTCAAGCACCTCAGCACAGAGAGCAGGCTTAACCTGACATAAGGATGGCGCAAGGTGGACATCAGTAGAAAGATCATTTCACAATCAGGGAGTTACCACTGAGGAGACCTTTCCTGTTGTTCCACCTTGCAAGTTTCCCTTGAATGAGGGCCTCAGATGATCAAATGGATTATAAAATAGTGTGAAGAGAAAGTATTCTATTTGTTAAAACAATTTCTGAAGCAACAACTGAAACAGATTAACATAAATAAATGGAATAATCATGATCAAGATTAAATTGAAGGTGGCACTGCACCATTCTGCCGACATTATGTACATCAAATGTCACACTGCAGTTCTGATAGGAGAGTCTGATGCTAGTGAAGTGTTAAGGGACGGGCATTTCTTTCATGAATTTGACTATTAATGATTATCACAGTTCAAAGTGCAAATGAAGCTTCCAGGTTCAGAGCATGTATCTCCAATTGCCAGGTTGTGTAGATAAACTTCATGCTTGGCTTATTTACCTTCCATAGGTGTCTGGGCAGTTTCTAGCAAGCACTCAAGAGGTAAACCTTTTGCCTAACCAGCAAAGCATCTGTGATGGTGTTTTTCAGTACAAGACTGCAATAGTGTATAAAACCAGGAACAAATTGAATAGACTAACAATTTGTTTACTTATAGAAGTTGTGACGTGGCAGTAATATTCACGGGTGCATTTCAACTTCTCTTGCACTCAGATTGCCATTCAATGGTATAATTAAATATAATAATGATACTTGGTATTTATATAGCACTTTTGACTATTCAAATACTTCACATACATTATCTGAGCAATCCAAACAACAAGCCTCTAAAGTAGTTATGATTAGCATAATGCAAAGACAGGTGTTGGAAGCAAGAGTGACATGCATACACCTCCCATTTTCCCTCACCATTGGCAATAGTTGCTATGACTGATGGGAGCTGTAGAACAAAATGTCTGGAGGACCACAAGTTGTGCACTCCTGAGTTCATAAATGGGATGTCATTTGAATCTTGGACATCTCTCATTCACACAAATGCCCACTACACTAGAAAGAGACCTGGTTCTTATGATCACTGGAGTTCATCAGGATGGCTGTACAGTGCCTAATTTCCAAGAACCCATGGGCAGTTTCAGGTTTACCAACCATGGCAAAAACTCACCCTCACCAGGTTCGCATGCAACTAGAAACCATGGTGTGCCTCTATCTTGTCTCAAATATGCAAAATGATAGTTGTCATGACAAGAAGTCCTGTGGGGAAATTCACTCATGGTGACTTCTCATTACATGTGAACTTGATTTAATTCTCAGTAAGTACATTCTTGATGACCAAAATTATACTTATTTCTTATACTTATTTAAGGAAACATGAGAAAATGAAAGCAAAATGGAACACAATGGTACTGTAAAATCAAACACTTTCATTGCATTTATTTTGATAAATATAGCATTCCCAATTGGAACACTACACATTTTTCAAGGCTGTTCAAAAAATCAGTTTAAATCAGACATCACTTCCGACAAACAAACCCAACATCTGTGGCATGGCTATTAATTTAAAACAATGTCTCTACCTAAAAATCCAATAAATAAAACTCTGGTTTTCTCAGATTTTTCACCTCCAGGGAAATTTCAATTACTACTCAACATCCTGCTACAAATTGTAGTAACTTCGCAAACATGGGTTTTAGTAGAATTGATTAAATGTGGGGCTAAGCTTTTATATTAAAAAAGTTACATAAAATTAGAAAGTGTCAAATAATAATTGATGAATAATGGTGAGAGCACAACAGTCAACTTGTATACTATATAATGCCTCATAATGTATATTATAGTAGAAATCAAATATATCTATCCCTTTTGCTCTATCCAAAAGTCAGCAAAACCCTGACTTTACTTCCAGCCTGATGTCAGAGGTTGAAACTACTGCAAGCAGAATGTATTTGCTGTATTTTTAACTATACTTTTGCTACTATTTTGTGTGCTGTCATTCTATGAGCCCATTAAGAGTGTACAAGTCAAGACATGTTTTGCCTTAAAAAAAAAAAAACACCCACACACACAGACAGCACTAACTCCTGCAAGAAAAGAGACAAGTCCCTCCCATGTCCAGTACTTTTGACCTACATAAGGTTCACCCTCCCCCCACCACCAAATCATTAACGGGAATGCATAGCCTTGTGTAAAAGCACCAGTCAATTTCTTCTCCAATGTATTCCTAAACTAATACCACATAATCCCTACAATAAAAAAGCTTGCTCAGGAAAGCACATCCAAAAGATGCATACAGAACAGAAATCATATTTAAGCAACCATTCAAGACAACTGCAAGCATTGGACAATCTAAAAGTAATAATCTGAATACAATTAGAAATCCAATACCCACCTACTAATGAACCATATAAACGGTCTTCATTTAAAATGCCTTCTATGTTGTCAGTTTTAGCATGGAACAGCTGTTGATTCATAAAAATGCCATTCTTTCACCAGGCATAATATGTATTTAAAAGATGTTGCTTCTATCTAGCAAGAATTACTGAGCACTTATCTACCAACATAAGCAAGTATTGATCCAGAATGCGACTGATGTCTCCCACTCCACTGTGAAAATCTGATTACTCATTTAAACAAAAATATTTTGAATTTTTTATTTATCACAATTTTCATCAGCAAAATCCTTAAATTTGCAAACTTTTTAAATATCTAAGATACACAAAGGGGGAGTTTGAACAGAGAAGCAGTAAAGCAAGTTAATTTCCTCAAAAGAAATACAACTCCTCCACCTTTCCCCGCTCCCCATACTCCGCTAACTACATCCTGGCTGCACTAGGATTTAATCTGTCCTTAAAACAGAGATATTAAAGAGAGTCCCGTGCAGATTAATGCTAACTTGGCAATGTAAACACCCCACTCCCTCCCCCGCCCCCTTTCGCTGCTCTTGCTTTCTCTGCCTGGCAATCCAAACAGAATCTTGTTAAGAGAAGTGCTGGTTACTCTGCGTGGTTTTAGTTATTTATCTAATGGCTCCTCCTCCAAACAACTTCCCCAGCTGTGCAAGCAGCTGGCGCCCTCATTCCCATTCCTGTTGCTGCAGGACTTAAACCTGTTCGTCACTGTTGTTGTTATTGTTATTAACACATCATCAGCACTTCTTTCCCTGCTCTCTCACCGTCTCAGGGTCGTTCTCAAACACCTCCCGGGCTTCTTCCTTGTTGCAGAATTCCTCCACGCATTCCCGCTCCAGATGGCCTTGCTTGGTCTCTTCGAAGATCTGGTAGGCTCGGCGGTGCCGCTGCCGAAGGAACTGGGAAGCCTCGTCCCGGGTTCTGTACAATAGCATAGCTGGGGCCCCAAATGAAGCGGGGCGCAGGAGAGGAAGGAGGGGATTAATGCTGAAGCCCCTCCGCTCGACACGGGAACAAAGAGGAAGGGGAGAAGTCACCCTGCCGCGAACCTTGTCAGCGAAGCCGAACCCGCGCCGTGATATCCAGAGCGGAGGCGCTGTCATGAACTCCCCTATACATGGCAGTCCTCGTGGAGCTTCCCTGGCCCCGCAACCCTCCTCCCCAGGGCTCCGGCTCCATTCCTAGCTACCCCGCAGCCCTTCAGTGTACCCTTCTCCTGCCTCGAGAACCCAAACAATGCCGCAGCCAGGAGCCGCGCTGTAAACAATGGCATCCTTGCGACCCTTCCGCTCCAAGGGCGCGCTCTCACGCAGAAGAACAATACTTCGAGAAGAGCGTCACCCCACCCTTTTTCGGGAAAATGGTACAGTCAACCCCGAAGGTTCAGTAGTAGCGGAAGGGCTCAAAAAGTGAACACGGGGTGGGGGAGAGGAGACCAGCGACCTTCTCACACACACACGCACACACACGAAGTTATCTATAAACGAGGTACACTCTTCGCCGGGAAAAAACGGGGGGCTGTCCCAGGGGTCTCAACCCGCTCCTGCTGTGAGGAAGCGCTTTAGGATGCCCTGACCTTGAGAGGCAGGGGCAGAGAGCCCCCCCGCCACAAAAGGCAGGGTACATAACATGGACTCTTCCCCAGCCCGGGAGAGACGCAGATGCTGCACGGCTAGTGTGGATTTCTGTACAACAGATGCGTGAATAATGCAAGGAGGAGGAGCAGTGGAAATAGCTTTTCTCCTCAAGGAGATGTCGGCATGGTGGCGGAGCGGTGCTTTCCTCCCCCCGGAAGGAAAAGGCAGCCCCTCGAAGTACTGCTACTCACTCTGAGAGGAGTCGGTAGCCAGCAGGACTAGCAAGAGGGCGGCAGCAGCTGGAGCCGGCGGCTGCTGCATGATGCGGCGGCTGCTGTGGGGCTTGGGCTGCGCCCTCTGACTGGCCGAGAGGAGCAGGGCGGTCTGGTGCAGGAGGAGGGAGCGCAGCGAGCTACTGTTGGAGGCAGCGGCGAGGACGCTGCCGAGCCCAGCGGGGGAGTCGCTTGTGCATTTGAGCCAATCAATTGAGAAAGTTCGCACTCGGGCTTTCCGCGAGGGAGCGACACACCTCGCGTGCCTCCCGCGCCCTCGGTGCAGGAGAGCTGCCCGAGGCAGGGTGGGGAGAGGAGGCAGGCGGGCGGGCCGGGCCCTGCCTTGAGAAACATTCTTGCTGAGAACGCAGAGCGAGCCTCGAACACCTTGCCCGCCGGTCGTGGGTGTCCCAGATTCCTTTAAAGTCGCGGTGCACTATGTTGTAGTGTATGCAAAAGTGTGCCTTTCGGCTTTCAGGTGTGCGTTTGCTTGTTTTTTATGCCTGAGGTGGAGCTCCAGGCTTGCACACACAAAGTCCCAGGTTCAATCCTTGGTGTCTCCAGATGTTGTTGTGTGCTGTTAAGCCATCTCCGACATATGGGGACCCTTTATCTCCAGATAGGGCTGGAAAAAATGTGATTGAAAGCCAGAAAAGCCACTGCTGCCAGTTTGAATTCACAAAGAAACAAACCAGAGTATTGGTAGCGGCTCAACTGTTGCTGAACCATGTGTTGTTGTGGAACCCAGCCATGCTAACACGTAAACATTTGATAACCTTCCAACACAAAGGTGGTCAGAAACTGTACTCAGGTTGGCTATAATTTTTTGCACTACAGGTCTTATGCCTGCTCACAACTGTTTCTACCAATTAAAATTTGCTGAAGCTCCCACCAGTTTATCAGTTAAAACTATGCTTGTAACTTGGAGCTTCTCCTTACCTCAGTCTCCCTTATCACTTTGTACATGTCCTGTAGACCTAAAGGTTATGGTTGCCTAGGCCCATTTGGAAATCAACCTGTCTCCTTCAGTCCCCTCTTTGAGTCTTAGGTGGGCTTTCTTTCCTTCCACCTACGACTCACTCAATGTTGATAAGACAATCCATTCACTTGGCCTCTAGGATAGCGCACTGTCATCAAGACAGTCCTTCTGGACATGGAAGTAAGGCAAATAAGCGTTTTCCACAAGTAGGTAATAACTGAATCCCACAACAAGAGATTAATAGGGATAACTATAATAAACTAACCTAGTCTAAATATGAGAGAGACTCATCCCAAATTGGGAATTCAAATAGTTAACTATTACCACAGATTGAACCCTGTTTCTTTGGTCAGTTGTGGGGCAAAGTGGCTAGTATTCAAAATCCAGTGCCCCGTATTTTCAACAAATTTCCCATTATCATTCACTTGTTTGCAACAAGTGTGGGTCAAATAAAACATGCCACACACTCCTCCTGCAGAGTGTAAAAGGTAGTCCAAAGCCAAGTGGTTCTGTATAGCTAGGGAACAAAGCTCCTTTCCTATGAGGAGAAAAGCTTCTCCTGTCTTATTAAATAAGATATCTAATTGGTACTGAATTCTCAAAATTTTCCATGATTAAGCCTTGGCTTCCCAAAAAAGGGATCCAAGCAGCCCTGTGCCAAGCTTCATGGAAAGGCTCTATTTCATCTATCACTTTCTGTAATTCAGAAAGAGTTGCATTAGGAGTTGGTAAGGCCCCTTAACTGGGGAGATCTTTCCCTTTTATAATGGTGAAAGGGGGAAGAGTTGATCCAATGTAGCAACTTCAAAACCATGTTGTAGGTAGTCTTTTATATGCTCTCCTGCCACAAATGAATAGCGCCCCACCTTGACTTTATTCCTTTTGCCCATGGACCATTAAAGGTAGTGGGATCGTCAGTATGAAAGGCCCACAGGAATTACTACAATAACAGTTTCTTTCCCAAGAGGCAAAGGTTTCTTGGTCAGTCTTCATTATACACAATGTTATTTCCAATTCCACATCCTCCTCATTAGAGTTGGAAAAATTTGTGTCAATACATCCTGAGATGCTGGGGTTCTCCCATTCCCAAGAACAGTCTTTTACCCATTGTGAATGGAACCCAGTTACAAAAGTACCATTCTTATGCAACCAGTCTGCTCTAATTTTGCATAGATTTGAATCTGCAGAAGTTTGATTTGCTTTCCCTGGCCAGAGCATGAAGTGCATTGTCCAGGTGCACTTGGATTTCCCTACAAAAGTAACAGCCTGAAAAGTGGCGGAGTAATTCTCAACCCAACAATGGATCCCTTGTGAATTCCCCACATCCCAGAAATTCTGTCTGTTAAGTGTTGAGCCAAGATTGTTCAATGTCTTATTCTCAAAGGGACCTTCTTTAAAAATTAGGTCTGCTGATGCTACTACCTGGACAGGCAAGGGGATTGCTCTGAAGGGAAATGCTGTCTTCCCCGTATCCCCTGGGTGTAAGCATATCCAGCAGTCAGATGTTGTTGTACCAACATAACTATTTGATCTACTCCATTATGTTCCTCAGTAGGTAAGATTTCTCTATGCACAACTACTTGAATTTCACATGCAGTTTTAAATCTACATCATGGTGTGGTGACTTTTCCTACTTCACACAATAGTAAGCACCTGCATCCTCCAAAGTTAGATTTTGAATGATGATAGAGAAATCCACATAGGAGTGTTTACTAACTCTTGTGACCCTTTTAAATGTTCTGATATCTGCATAGACAAGTCCTCATTAGGACCTTTCCCCAAAACTCATTTTACAGGTTCAGGTGAACCTGAACCCTTCACTTGGCATTCCAACCTCTAGGTCTTTTCCATCTGAGCTGAGAAAAGACTGTGTGGTTGGATTATACTTAGATTTTCCTGGGTCATCCCCCATCCCTCAGTAGCCCAAAAGTTGCATAACAATAGCCACATCTCTGCCCTATTGATCAAACAATACCTGAAGGATTGTCTCCTTCCCTATATGCCCTCACGCCCCTTAAGATTGGCCGGGGAGGCCTTGCTCCTGAGAACTCTCCTTGAAGGAAGTACGGAGGGTGTCTACCCAGAGGAGAGCCTCCTCTGGAGTGGCGCCAAGACAATGGAATGCACTCCCCAGAGAGGTCCACCTGGCATCTTCATACTCCTTCCAGTGCCAGGTAAAGACCTTTTTATTTAACCATCATTTTAACAATCAGGGGTTTTAGATGTTTTAAGATATTTTGTTTTCTTTTTGTTTTCACGGTTGCACTTCCTATTTTATTTTTCCTTTCTTATTTTTTAGTTTATAATGTTTGATTTTAGATGTATTAATAAGTGTGGTTTTCTTATTGTATTTTTAGAATTTTATACTACGTAAGCCGTCCTGAGCGCTTGTGAGGAAAGATGGGATACAAATGCTTGTAATAAATAAATAAATTCAAATTGTTTGGTCTCTTTCCAAACCTTTATCCTGGAAGAGAACTCTCAAATCCTCCACAGGTTCACAGTCCACGTCTGCTTCTGGCTGTCCTTTCTCCTTGTAGGAACAGCTGCAGTGTCCTCTTCCTCAGCAGTCTCTGGTGCACTTATCACACAAGTGCAATGGATCCATGTTGGTAGTCCAACAACCTTCACAGGAGTGGAAGTAATCAGCAACACTTGTAACTGGCCTATGCACCTCTCCTTCAAGGGTTCCTGTGCCCACTAGGACCTCATCTACAGGCTGAAAGGGGTGTACTGGAACATAAAGGCCCACTTGATGTACCTATAGAGGGAATTAATAGTATCCTGCAAAGCCATCATGTAATTCTTTAACATATCCTTTCCCTCCACCAAAACATCACTAGTAAACATGACATCATCCCGCTTCCACCCTGAGTACAGCTTCCCATGTATGACCTCAAATGGACTCATTTTTGTTTGTCTCCTTGAACTAAGTCTGAGCAATGCTAGGGGAAGAATTTCCGGCTTCTGGAGTCTTGTTTCCTGACACAATTTTCCCTAGTGAGCTTTCAACTGCCTGTTGGTCCTTTCTGTTAGTCCACTTGATTCTGGTCTCCACAGTCTTCACTTTTGCAAATTGCCTTAGGGCAGGACATAATCTTTTTTTTTAAATAAGTTTTATTGTTATTTTCTACTAAGTAACAAAACTAACAGAAAAAACCCTAAAAAATCATCAATCATCAAAAACATCAGACCTACTGGGTCAGCCCCCCAAACTTTTTATGGTAATCCATAAACATATTTAAATCTATGCATAGTCCCATTTCTCTAGCCAATAATAGAAAGAATCC